GAGCTGCTCCAAGCCCCAGTAAAGGCAGCCCTGGCAAACCTGCTGCCATAAGCTGCACAAACTCCAGATTTCCCTGAACAGAGAGAGGCAGTTCCGTTGGACAAGCATGGGAATACATTGGATTTTAGATGGTTCACCTGGGCAAGGTCTGAAGCCTGGATAGGGCCCCTTTTCATGATGTTGTGATGATGACCTTTATCATCATACCTTTTCCTAGGCCATTTTCTGCTCCCAGTTTGATGAGGAATTTCCTCCCTCAGTGACCACCAATTCACCTCCTATTTTATATTTAACATACTCTTTTCTTTCGACAGGTTTTCACAAAAAGCAAGCGATGCCAACCTTCCCCTGCAGTGACTTGTACTCCTATTTCTTTACCTTCAGAACACTGTACGTGGAGTTCCGAGTTCCAGTGAATCATACGCAAAGGAAGGATGGGATCTGCCATCTGGAAATGATTACAAAAACTTATTGTGCCGCATAAATATGCTGCTTGCTTCTTTTTTTCACCCCTGCTAATTCTAACACAAAGCAGTGATACTGAAACCGATGCCAGACTAAACAGTGGAGCAAACAATGCAAACATGAACTTTGCCACCAGCAGCCTAAGTACTCAGCTTGAGCATAAAGGAAGGCACAAGCTGGAGCACAGGAATATTCTGGAGTGGGTGAAATGGTCTGCGAGGGAAAGCAAAATGAAGTTTAGGTTAAGGGGAGGGGTTTGCTAACATAGGCAAAATTTGATATCACTGAACACTAGCTGGACCTAAGCTGCTGGAGTGCGAAATCACAGCAGAAAGCTCTGGTTTCTAAAAAAGCCCTAGGAACACACGCATCTCCAGCACAGAGGAAGTCAGAAGGAAATCAGCTCCAAAGAATGTCTGCTCGATTTCCTTTGAGACAAAGGTATTTCTATCTCCAGAAAAGGGGAAGCAATCCCAGCTTGCCTTGGGCCCCTCTGCCAGCTCATTTGGGTTTGGTACTTTCCCTTTCTGCAGTTGTTGCTTGGGTTTCCACTGATGCGGCACCACTGTCAGGCTCCTTTTTAAAGTATGTTCTTTCTGTTCAAATAATCACCCATTTTATATTTATGGGACTGGATTGCTTGACCTTCTGGAAAGGTTCTCCTGTGTCCTGCAAACACAAGTAGCCTTGTGTGTATATTTATCCGATTCATCTCCTCTTGATCCAATCAAAACCAAGTTACCAAGAATAGCAGCATCCTCCTGATGCTGAGCACCCAGCACAGAGCACGACTCGCAGCACTGTGCTCACATTGAAGACCTCCCAGTCACCACACGTGGTGGGAGTGCATGGAGAAGGTGAGGAGACAAAAGACACACTGAAGACCTACCCAAGCTACAGTCAGTTTCCTGCCACTGCTCTGCACCCCTCTCAGCCCTCAGGGGGCTTGCTGCTGCTCCCAAACCGTGGAGAGCCCCACTAAAACCAGTTTACCACTAACTGGGGCTGTGCTTCTTACCTGAGGCACACCTCATCTGTAATGCTGGCGTGCTGCCATCGTGATTCCCATCTCCTTAGCGGAAAAGCAGGGTTGAAGTGGGAAGACCCAGCAACAGGCTCCTGTCCTGTTCAGTGCCTGCTCCCCAGCAGCAGGATGCAGCTGCTGCGTACCCAGCAAACACAGGACCCCTCCTACCCATCTCCACGTGAGAGCCGCACAGCAGCCCTTTATAACCTCTTTTGCCTGTTCCCCATGGCAGAGCCCACATACACAAGAGCTTTAGAGTTTGTCCCTGCCTTTCACATAATCAGAAGCTGGACCTGCAATTCTATCAATCATATGAATTCTATGCACAGGCTGAGGAGTTACTAGCTAACTGGCAGGCACAGAGTACTGTAAGTCTGCTGGCGTGAGAGCAATCTATAGATCATTTGTATTAGGGTGTAAGATACCTGAAAATGTAAAGCACTGATGCTAATCACAGGGATGTTACAAATGATCTTATAGAAACTGATGCTGCATATAAATTTAGATATTATTATGTAAAAATAAATATTACTTTCTATGCTTTGCTGAAATGCCAGAGTGAGAGGATTCCGTCAGGATACAGCAAGCAGCAGAGCACGAAGCATAAGGCAGCTAGGAAAGCACGGCTTTTCTCTCCTGCTCCACTGCGTTTTTCCTGGGTAGAAGGGAGTGCCCGAACTTTGGAAATTCTTGTGGAAAGAGACGGCCCCAGTAAATAGCCATGAAACAGCTCAGGAAATTGCCTGGCTAGGAGATGGCTCCACACGGAAGCCACCTGCCTTCATCAGCCACAGCCAAAGGTGGGCTCAAGTCATCAGCCCAACCTGCCTTGAGGGAATGGTTCAAGGTCAAGCTGCTCCCCATGTGGGGCTTGATTCTTCCTGCCTGACAAAACAGAGCTGATTTGCCTGCAGCCAAGCCGAAGGATGAGCCAAGAACAGGAACGAGGACAGTGGGAGAGCCTGGACTCCAGCCACAAGCCAACGTGTAATCAGAACACAGATAGTGCCAGGGAGCACTGCTGAAACCAACAAGTCAGCTCTGGCTGAAACCAACAGTGCCGTGTTATCAGGCAGTTATCTAGGCAGGTATTTGAGCTGGAATCACATTACCACCTGACTTCTCAGGCTGCATAAGGGAGGGGGGCGATTTCTTTACAAATCTTTGGCTGTGACTGAATGAGACCCAGCCATGAGCAGGTTCCCAGATGTTTCATCCTTAATACACTGACCAAAACAGCTCAGAGACAAGTTGCTTAATGCAGTCAGTCAAACATGCCCAGGTGCTGCATTGCTTTCATTGATCTGAGCACAGATGCGGCAGTTTTCAACAATGAAGTGCTCCAAAAATATGATCTGAAATCGCTACTCAGCCTCTTGAGGTTTCCAGCACAGTCCCACAACTACTCAACTGCCACAACTTTTGTATCCATGCTTTTCTATTCCTGATGGCTTGCGGATACCAAGTCTGCTGTTGGCATCCAGGTGCCTCAATGGCCCACTGTCCAGTTCATGTCCTGGAGCCAGAGAGTATCTGGAGATGCTGCTTTAAAGGGATGAATGAAATTTCATGCAAGAGCAAGCAAAGTACATGACCTTAAACAGGAAGAACGAATAAGCTTGGGCAGACATCTCAGGCTGAGCCCAGTAAGCACCACAGCTAAATAGGAAAGAAGATGGGCAACGAGAAAGAAAGAGAACGATGTACACAGAGCAATGGGTGAAGGAGGAGCATCCACGGATGAGCAAGGAGGGCAAATTGCTGATACACAACAGAGAGACGGAAATCAAGGACGAGAGGCGGTTAACATGCTCCCAGAGCAACCTAACCCTGGCCAGGGGAGGGCTGAAGAAAAAGCGGGTCAGCAGGCACCAGGGAAAGCAAGCAAACTGAATCTTTAAAGCTTACACAGCAAACCGTGGTCTTGGACCCCAGTGAACTGTAAGACAAACCCTGGCCCTGCGCACTGCTGGCGCTTGAAGCGACTTTAAACACCTCCCCATGAACTCAACCAGAGAGCTCCCCTGGACCAGACAGCAACGGGGAACTCCTGACTCCAAGCCCCCAGCTTGCTGGTTCTCTTCAGCCCTAGAAAACCCTTGCCGAGCACAACAAAGATCTGCTTCGAGCTATTCCAGGCACAAGCAGCAGGTCTGAAATGCAGGCCGATGGCTGCGGGCCCTGAGGAACAGCTCTTTGCCTGCAAGCCCCTCAGTCAGACACCTGCAGGGCCCTGGCACAGGCAGCCCAAGCCGGGGAGGGAAGCTCTCTCCTCCTACGTCAGCTTTTAAACATGCAAGCTTCGGAATTCAAGCTCAGAAAGCTACTACCAGCCCACTCACAGCCGATGCTACCTACCATGGAGCACAGCATCTGGTCACCAAACCCAGCTCCACGAGGGTACCTTGCTAAGACACCACGCACGGCTGTCCTCTGGGGTCTGTAGAGTCGCTGCTTAGCGGGGGAATTCCACAAGCATGCTAATAAACCGGAGAGGCTGCAAACGTGATGGGAGGGCTGGGGAAAACACAGCTGGCGAGCTCAACCTGTGCAGGTTATCAGAGAAGCGAAAGACAGGCTGACTGCCACATAAAAGCCATCAGAAAAGACACCACCAGTGACTAAGGACTCTTTACTTTAAGGGACAGAACGATTAAGACCTGTGAACAACGACCGCAGCCAGAGCAAAGTGAAATGAGATTGCAGGCACACATTTTAACACCATTGTGGCAAAACTTCCAAGGAAGCCTGAGTTCCCCACCCCTTGCTATTTGTCTCAGCATGAAGACAGGTGCTTTTCTGGGGAGGTATGATTTCAAGCAAATCAGCAGCTCAGCGCAGGTCTGAGGGGAACCCCCCAGCCTGTGCGATACAAAAGAGCAGGCTGGATAATCTAATGGTCCCTTTTGGCCTCAAAGGCCTGGCTGCGGGTGTCTGAACCCCGTCCCTCACCTCCAGTCACCCAGTGCACCCACACCACAGAAAACCCAGGACCCGCCGCAAGCAGCACCCCTGAGAGCACAGCAGCGCTGCCAGGGCACCCACACCAGAGGACAACAATGATAAATACACACAGAGAATCACCTCCTTCCGCCTGCTGCTCACGCTCCTGTCGACGCAGCCCAGCACGAAGGTGGTTTCTGGGCACCGAAGGGGCTCGTGTTCAGTTTCTCATCAACCAGCACCCCCAAATCATTCTCCTCCGGCTGCTCTGCACAACCTGCCCCGACCCAGAGGCGGCTTCACAAAGCTCCCACAACCGCCTCTTAAGCGCGTCCAGGCGCCCTTTTATACCTCAAACCGCCAATAGAGCACCGGGGCGGACCGGCCTCCCCGGAAGCAAACGCATCTTGTTCCCGGTGGGAGCGCGGCTCAGCACCCACCGCAGCCGGGTCCTAGCGCCCGCCACCGCCAGCGGGGCCGCCAGGGGGCAGCACCGCGCCGAGCGTGTGCGCGAGGTACCTCAGAGCAGGGTGCGAGGCCCCGGGTGTGAGGGAGCGGCCGTGGCCGCCCGCCGCCGTCCTCGGACACACAAGTTCCTGTCGGGCTGTGGGCTCCTGCTTGGTGCCTTGCTTCAAATAAGGTAATAAGGAAACGGGAGCGAGCGCGGGAACAAGGGCGGGAGGGGGGCAGTGGGGTTGTCCCCTCAGGAGGGAGGGGTGTGAAACCGGAGCCGCCGGTTCAAGCGGGGAGCTGAAAACCCGCGCTGTTCTCCCTGAAAGCAGAAGCCGTGCGGTAGCCGAAGTCAGTGGGGGTCTGCTTAAGTCACACGTGTGGTGTTTGGAAGGGGTATGGGTGTGTTAAAGCCACTGTTGGGTTGTGTTTGCTCGTGCATCTGAGCGAGAAAGGGTTCCCGTGGGGGAAGCGGCGCCAGGATTGAAGTTGTGGAGAATGGATATCCATGGGGAAACCTAAGGTGTAAACGTCTGATTCTTGGGCTTGGTAACTGGTGTGGTTTAGGCATTCACTATCCTTGTAAGCGCGGAGGGTCTGGGGCTTTCCTCAGAGACCTGCTTGGTGAGGCAGCCCTGCGCTCTGTCACGCTGCATTTACGTGCTGAGCATCAGCTCTGAGCCCATAAATGCCAGTTCCAGGGTGCTTGAAGAGCTCTGCAACACAGCCGTGGCTTTGCACGGAGTCTGGCCTCTCTCTGTTTGGTATCACCTCTGTGCTGATAACCAGGCAGTTACAGCTTGCGGCAGAGCCGTCCATCGCCTCCCAAAGCACTCAGCTCATTTCTAGGGGTTGTACTCGGTCCATGGCGATGCTTCAGGACACAGGTGATGCAGGAGGAGTGGAAACATCCCAGGTACTCCGAAGATGAAGCTTGGCCTCTCTTCCTCCCTCCCCCCCATGCTGTGACTTTTGTATTTGCTAAGAACAGACTACTGGGAAATCAGTTGTAGGTTGGAAGTTACTGTGCATTCAGTGCCCATCGCTGCAAGCCCCGTTTAGACTTCTCACTGTTGCCCTCCTAGGAAAAGAGCTCTCTTTGCCATTGCCATTTCTTTTGTGTGGTCAAATCCCCATTTTCCACCCTAAGTCCTGTCTGTCTCCTTTTCCTACACTGGTGAAGAGCAGCAGGAGGATTACCTCAATGCTTTTTTCTTAGGGTCCTTTACTTTCTTCAAAAGCATTTTTTTTTCTTCATTAAAAAAAAAAACAAACAAAACAACAAACCCAAACCCCACAAGATTTGGGCTGGGATCTTGAGGGGGATAAAAATTAAGAAGCGGTTTTGCTTCTTAACTTCATTTCCTTGTATTCTTATCACTGAAGGTTCGTATCTTTCCTTGAAACTTTGTAAGCAAGGAAAGGAACAGTTTCTGATAGATGGCAAGTTGCATTCCCTGTGCTTGAAAGGGAAATGACAAGAAGTAACTAGGCTATAGTTCAAAAGGAAAGAACTATACGTCAACACCATGGGCAGTTTCTTGGTTGTATTTGTAGATATATTGCTTATTTATTCCCTCTGACTGAGATTTACGTGAAGTAAAGGACTACCTGCAGGGTTTTCTAGTAACAGCTGTAGCACCAGCATCACAAATGATAAACAGCCCTCACTTGGATGAAACAGTCTGGAGAGCCCTTCAAACTCTTATCTATTGCTGCTACCTACTCACTGTCCCTTTGATGCTGAACCAGTTAAAAATGCCTCGAATTACTCCCTGCAATTCCACAGAGTATATCAGGGATTAATTTAGCACCATTTCTTCAGCATGATAACAGCTCCATCCAGCTGTTAGCCAGTTGATAAATTATTCAGGGGGTTTTCTTCCACGCGGCCCATTAGGGACAAAGAAAATCCTTTTCTAATCAGTCATTGTCTTTAATTTTGGTACCATTTTAAGTCACACACCCCGCATTAGCGAGTGATGAATAGCCCAGGCAGGCAGTTGTTGTGCTGTGTGCATGCCTGGGTGCAGCTGGAGGCTTTCCCACAGCAAGCACCAGCAGCCTGGGGCTGAGAGGCAGGCAGCTGGTGTGTGCCCTGCCTCCCTGAGCCCCATGTAAGCCATGGGGCAGCCCCACAGAGCCCAGCTGCTGCACTGCTGATTGCTCACTCTTTGGGGCTGCCCAGCTGCTAACTGATGCCATTGCTGATGGGGAGCTCTGCTGAGCACAGATGTCTGCAGCAGCAGATTCACCCATACAACTTCCTGGTGCTACTGGCACAGGCTACGGCTGAAGATGTGCAATGAAAACAAAACTGAAGCCTGCATCATTGTGCATCCATCCGCTCAGCTCCCCCACCCGCAGCCTGTCATTATACTTGTTATTAGTGCTTATGGTGAGCTTTTCTTATTCCAGGGTTTTGGAAGTGGTCAGGCACTGAACGCAGCGCGGCACATTTGGGTTTGTTGATGGTGAGGACAGCGTCACTGCCACAGAATAGCTGCAGTAGTCACTATGGGCACTCAGCCATGTGGCTTTGATTTCAAGTGCCCAAGCCCCACGTTGCTGATTCTTCTGCCTCCCAGACTCTACAAACACCCTCATTCTCTCAGCACCAGTTTCTGTTTCTGGCTGCAGTGTCCAACCTGAGGCCCAAGTCTTTAAGGTTGCTAAAGCCATGTTACATATCCAAATACTTTGGGGATTTCCCACCAATTATGCCTATTTCCTTGTTATGCATATTGTAAGAATAGCCAGTGAACACCATATACACCCTGGTGAGAAGCAATCAGATAAACTGTGGGAGGTCTCAGCTAGAATCCCTCTTCCACCCGCTCTTTCAGAACAGGACAGTAAACTTCCATCTCCTATTTCAGTGAAATGCCTCTCCCTCTTGTCTGCATCAAGTCATCTTTAGCGAGCCACTGTTAGACTTTGCTGAGTAGTTTTTGGTTTGTAGACGTATTTTAGCTACAAATCAGAGGATGGGCAGGGGTTATGGACTCGCTGCCATTCAATGTAAATAGTTAACTGTACCGAGGATCTGCCATCAGACCTTACCATGAGCAGCTGAGATACATAAGCAGCCAAGAGGGACAGAATTACTCGCCAGAGGCCAAGAACAACAGGATGAAGGTGGTTAAAGGTATTTTTCAACTTAAATTGAAGGAAAAAAACACAGAGAACTAAACTGTAATCACAGACTTTGATCTGGGTCACTTAAAGGCAGGTCTGCCGTGTAAATTAATATTGAATTGGTAAAATAGAATCATACCATTTCTCTTTTCCTTAGTTCTGTTGTTTCACAGTGTTTCTAAAAAGGGATGGAAAGTTTTCCATCTGCCTAGCAGGAATGTTGGGAAAGTGATCCGCCGAAAATGAAAAAGAAATCAAAACTATTGCTGAGTTCAGAAGTGCAGCATCTTGTAGGTCAAGCATTCACATCCACCTGGCATTTCAGGAGAACTCTTAGCGAACGCGGGGAAGAACTACAGCGGTTTCTAGAAGGCAGAGGGGAGTATGAACTGTACTAAAGCTGTCTTCATGAAATAGCAGTAGTTTTATCCCTAGTTGAATTGTCGCATTCATCTCATACAGTCTCACCGGGAGATGAATACCTGGCCCACTCTCTCTTCTAGGGAAAGAATAAGCAAAGGCAGCAGTTGGGGTATGTCTGTCATACCAGCTTGGGCTCATTGCATCCAAGAGACAATGGCTAGCTGTGCAGCAGAATACTTGCTCTCTGTCATGCGGATGAAATGAACTCACATTAGGAGATAGAGTTACATGCTCATAAAGCAAATACGCATGCCAAAGCTTTGATGCGTTATATAAAAACTCAGGATCAGTTTTCACTCCCCTTCACTTCTGCCTCACTTAAAAAATTCCCCACTCAAATCTGCTCTTTCCAATCCAACCCAAATTCCTTGTGATAGAAGCGAGCACAGAGCACAGTCCTCTCCCAAACCAGATGATATTTAAATTAGCTTCATCTCTTCGCTTATTTAAAGCAGCATGACAGCAGGGATAGCTGAGCTCCACCTTGATGGCGTAATAAACTTGAACTTGGTGATATGTGCTGGGGATTGATTTCTGCTGCTGACAGATTCTAGGCTCCAGCAATGAATGTGTTAGAGGGGACGTAAATGCAAATGGCCACATGGTTTCCTGAAGACATGAGTGCTCCTATGGTCTTATACTAATCACTTCCACATTAAACTCTTCTTTTTCTCTGTGTAAGCTCCCTGCTTTTCAGAAGAGGGTTACGGCCATCCAAACTGAATGCATTCATTCACCAGGTCAAAAGGTTTGGGAATAATAAGCACCAATTCTAAACCCAACCAACCAAAACCAGATCAAACAAGAAAATAATTTCACTTTGAGAAATATCCCTTGAAGGTGCCTTCTCATACCTGTTAGACCACAACCCTGACTAAATGAAAACTGACATAGGGTGAAAATCAGTATAAGAAATGTTAACCTGTATTTCCTGTGTTGATATAGATAAATGTATACTCTTTTCTGGTTTTTCCACCAATCACAAACACATATCTCTGATGACAACCTCAGGTTTTGCCAAAAGGCAGGGTTGGTTTTCTCCCTATTCCAGCTGCCCTCATCTCTCTCCCCTTCCCAAGAACCACAGAGCAATCTTTAGTGCCTGCTCTCAGGCTGACTTCCAGAGCATGGGTGTTTTGCTGCTGGCTTGCAGTGAGACGAAAAAGTCCCCCAGATGTTGTTACCTTTCCTCAGAATCCTTTGCCTTGCCTAAAGCAAAACACAGATTTTGAGATAGGGAAGTGTGAGAGGGGAAATCCTGATGCTTTAGCATTAGAATTGCCCACTGAAAAATGACTCGGTTCTCATCAAGATAACACAGGCACAGCCTCGCTGATAGCGTGGTAGGGGATGCTCAGCTCCTCAAGATTCCAGGAAGCCCCACTTCAGACGGCTCCTTCCCCAAGCCTGTCTCATGCAAGCAGCCGTTAGCACGGTTGGCTTTTTGAGGAAGGAAATTGCCTTGCCCCGGGGGGGAGGGACGGGACACGACAGGGTCACAGACAAACCAGCCCTGCAGTTAGGAGAGGAAGTACTGAGTGCGCTGCTGAGGTCTCCTCTTGATTCTTGCAGTGAAGGGAACAGAAGCCAGACAGGGTTAGAGGAGTATCTTGGCTTGCAGTGAAGTCATTCTCACGGTTCAAGCTTCTGCGCAGCTCCTGACAGCTTGGATGAAATTATGAACACAAGGGGCTTGACTTTGGCGTGTAACTGGTGTACCGTAAGTAGTGGAAGGACAGACAGAGCTGGCTGTCCAACTGCAGCTTGGCAGGCAACAAATACACTCACCTGCTGGCTGATACCAGCCAGCAAGAGGTGCCCAGTTTACAACATAAGCTTATTTCCTTGTCTCTTTGTATGTAGGCAGCCTTGGTTTTTGTCCTGTCTCTTCCCTTGTACTCCAAAGGGAGCAGATGCAAATGCGTGGGTTTTCTCAGTTTCTCTGTGGAATTGATAGTCAGATCAGCATTACAAATGTGTGGTTTGGGCAAGCTCTGCTCAGGAGCGTTTTGTTGTCAAACTATGAAATACATCTTGGGCTCTGTTTGCCCTTGATCTTGAAACTGTTGGCGTTATTTTCATCCTTCCCCTAGAGACATTTAAGCTAATGTGAGCGTTTCTGTTGGAGTAAAAGAAAGAGAAAGAAATGTAATGCCAGGAGTCCAGAAAAACAAAAGTCACAACTGTTAAGGAGCTTTGATAAGCCTGAGAGCGCTGCATATCCTGCGGTAGTCTTTCAGTCTCTGCTGTGTTATCACGTAAAGAGCACAGAGAAAAGAACTGGTTTAGCAACCCCTACGTTACAGAAAGCCAACCTTTCAAAGCACACCAGGAAGCCAGCTCTCTGCGCTGGTTCCCTGACCCGTGGCAATGAAACCGGTGGCACCGGTGGTGCTGCTCACCACCCAGTCACTGAAGGGCCTCTCACAAAAAGTATGAATGACCAAAAAAAAAATCATTACTGATTTTTCTTATTCTTTATGCGTAATGTCTCGGTTTTATTATATTTTTATTATTTAAAACTCTCAGAGAGTTATGGGCTATGGGAAAGTCTGTTAAATCATTACATTACGCTTCCTTGTTCTTACGCATCTCCCTTTATAAACCTGAAACCTCATGATGCTCTCACAGCAGTTTTAGAGAAAGGGAAGTAAATCAGGCTGCCCCAGCCAAGGCCAGGAGATAATGTCTGAGTCATGATTAGGACCCTGTCGTTCAGCCCCAGGCCAGGATAGTCTGGTGGACAGGGGTCCATCACTGCAGGTCCAGAGGGGATTCAGCTGGAAGCTGCAGGAATCATAGAACCATAGAATTGTCTGGGTTGGAAGGGAGCTTAAAGCTCACCCAGTTCCAACCCCTGCCACAGGCAGGGACACCCTCCACTAGAGCAGCTTGCTCCAAGCCCCTGTGCCCAACCTGGCCTTGAGCACTGCCAGGGATGGGGCAGCCACAGCTTCTCTGGGCACCCTGTGCCAGCGCCTCAGCACCCTCCCAGGGAAGAGCTTCTGCCTTAGGTCTAACCTGAACTCACCCTGCTTCAGTTTTTTACCCATTACTCCTTGTCCTGTCACTACAATGCCAAGCTAAGTGTATATAACTGTGCTCAAGGAAGGTGCAGTTCTCCACACAACTGGGAGGAAGGGTGTAGTTTGCCAACAGTTAAAGTAATAACCCAAATGAAGAGTAAAATTGCAATTGCATGAACCTCAGCTGTTTCCAAAAGACAGCATCAACCTGGTGCTAGCATATAAAACAAGTTCAGTCACTTTAAAGATGCCTGTAGCTTGGTCAGGTTTAGAATTTAAGGGGCTGTTGTTTGTGCAGCCTCTGTACAAAGTGTTTTGCTGTCAAAAGTTGGGAGTTATCCTATGGACAGAAACTTCAGGCACTGTTTAATTGGCCACAGCAGAGTCTTGGATAGTCTTCGTGCGATCCATCTTTTTGAAGGAACATAGACATCATTCTTCCTGGAAAGCCCAGCAGAGTCACACACAGGGGGCTGGGAGCTGGACAGTGTCTGAAGGGCAAGGAATCAGTGTCTGAACAACCAAATCACACCCCCTGTGCTTGGGTAATCAAATTGAAGCAGCCAGCAGGGCTGCTCTCCTTCCAGGAGCTCTTCAGAACAGGCAAGAGAGATGAGTAAAACACTTCAGATTTCACTTGGCTCTGGTGTCTCTTATAACCCCCGCAGCCTCAACACTCAAACCTGTGCATTCGGCTATTGTCACTATTGCAAAGTGCCTCAAAGTTTTGAATGCTTTGTGGAAGACACTTTGCACAGTCTAATAATTCTTTGGCTAGGAAAATAATTCCTCCTTTCCTACCATGCTTCATTCAACTTAAATTGCATTCCTCTTAACTGTCTTTTACTGCATCGTAGTGTGATGGTGGAAAAGGCTGCAAAGCACCTCTTGGTATTTCAACTTACCATCCTTACTGTAAAGTTCCATGTCGACTCACACTGAGTACTGGGTTTTTTTTCAGTGTCATATCTGCTCACAGAAGAAGTTTCATGTGCTTTTGATGGGAGAAATGAGCTGAATGCCCCTGCCTCCAGGGCAATCACTTTCTAAACGTTTTCATTTTCTTTATAGCCATATAACCCAGCTTCAGCAGTTAATTACCCTGCTCGGTGTGATGCGGTTCCTGTGACTTAGCAACTGTTCATTCATATTCTGGTCGCAGGGTAGAAACTCAAAACGGGTACCTCGGGAGAGACCAAGATTCCTGACCTTAACTGTAGGTGGCATTCTTCATCTGTTCATGCGAGTTACTGCTCAAGAAACAGAGGCGGAGGAGTAATTTTCGTGTAGCCTTGATTAATGTTTGCAGCCCTCTCCCAGGTTTAATTAAACGGTACTTTTAGCTGGAAGGAATGCAGGTTCATAAAATCCGAGGTTGTGTAACTATTACCTGGAAAGATTAAAACAATTTTCTGCTGTTCTTGCCCTGGAAGCTGGGGAAATGGCAGTGTTTGAGTGATCTGGAGCGTTTCCAGAGAAATTCTTCCATCATGTGCTAGGAAGAAGAAAAAGCTGTAATGCCCAAAGGTTTATCCATGACCTAGAGACCATTTGCAATTACCTTGCAGCGAGAGTGAGCAAATCCAACTACATTTTAAATTATCAGTGTTATCTCTAGAGGAATCTCAAATAATTTCCTTTTGGAGAGGGGGTTTTGGCATGCACAGCATTTCTCATGTGGACGTGGTTATCTGAGACAACTCTGCACTGTTCCAGCAGTAGAAAGGTTACAAGGAAAGAAAAGAGGGGATTTTATTCTCCAATTTAGCTAAAAATTGAGTGAGCTTGAGAAAGAGAAGTAATCCTGCTCGGCTAGAGCCAGGCTGAACTGCAAGCAAGTTATCTTTGAGTATCCCATGCAGCTCTGAGCACGTTTTGCTCTCAAAGCTTTCCCAGCCCTGATCCTTGCTCTGCTGTAATGGCATCAGGGGTACCAGACGATGCACATCCTTCGTGATGCAGGCAAACGTCCGCCGAGGATTAGACTGAGGGCACAGGGTTCATCTACGCTTGTGACCTGGGACAGCTTCTAGTCCTGCGAATCAATCTTCCAAATAGGAATGCAAGTCAATTAAATTATTCATTTCCCTTCTTAGCTTAATCAGAGATTAAACTACAAGAAATTCGTACTAGTGCCAGAGAACTGAAAACAGATGGCTTAGGATTCATTTTGTTCGTCAGGGGCATTGGCAGGTCAAAGACGTCAAACCCCTCAAACAGCAGGCTTTCTTTTTAAAGCAAATAAACCCCTCAGCTTGTGGGTGCTCATTTTCTTTTAGCATTTTCATTTCTGTCGTGACAGCGAGGTGCAGTCTAAGCAGTTAAAAGAGCTGAGAGGATTCCAGGAAACATTCCACATATCCATTTTTCCACATTGTTTTCTCTATGAAATGTCTTATCAAAAGCGAGACAATTTCAGCCTTCTCTAGGACCAAGTTAGAACCAAATCTTTTAGTCTTATCCAAGGGGGAATGCTCAGATAAAGGCTAAATCAAATAGATTTTTGGTGCATTAGAATCCAGGGAAAGGGCATTACTTTATTGGTTTTCCTCTTTTGCTCACCTACTGTGTAAAGCATGATTGTATGAAAACTTCAGAGACCTGCCCATCAGGCCCAATGCATGTCACAAAAGGCAACATCCAGCTTTACTGGGTGTAGTTCAATCCCACCAAAGTGCAATTATGGTGATACATTCCCAGGCTAGTCAAATGGTTGTATAACCTCTCCATTCTGCCCACTGTGGGATGGTTGTGGATCCTCTACGGCAGCCCAGGGACTGAACTGACACATCGGGGCCCCTGCATTTCATGTCCTGTGCCATTGCACCAGAGTCTCACAAGTGCCTGTAGTGATTAGTTTCACAAAACTGTTTTCTCAGGTTTAACAAAGGGATTTGTCTAAGCCAAACATCACCATATAATCTAGAGAGAAAGCGTTCAAAGGGAAATCCTCATCACAGCATGGATTTAACAATCAGAAGCTCCAGGTGAGTCACCTGGACCTTGTCTTTGCAAACCTTGCAGTGATTTTTCCAAATCAAGTTCATTCAGTGTTTTGGAAGAGTGCCTTGGAAAATGAATTCTTCCCCTATCATGTGGACAGCGTAGGCATATTTTCCCATAGCGTAAGAACAGATAGCGCATTTTCCCACTCCCCTAGAAACTGAGTTAATGCAGAATGACTAATTCATCTTTTTGGACTGTCAAAATGCTCGCTGTAAACTCAATGCATCATTTAGCCTAAAGTACATTGCAGCAGAGGATACAGGCCAAGGAACACAGTTTCTTTTCTCTTGATTAATAAAGGCTTGGAAATCATGCTTCAGAACATTCTGTGGTCCCTCAAGGTCAAGAAAAAGATGCAATATTTACAGATTAGAAGTAGTTCACTCCAAGGCAATGGGCAGTACTTTAGCTCACCCTACATTGCTCAATAACTTACTTTAAAAACTTCATCTACCCTTCCCATCCCTGCAGTGTTTTGTTTCCCCACCGAGATGGATAGTGCAGACCTCAGGGCTGCCCACTCAGTCTGCATGCTCTGGGCAGTGGTGCTTTGGCAGAGCTGTTGGAGGGAAGCATGCACTTCATTCTTTTCGAGTGTCCATTTCATGGGAAATACTGTGCAGAGCCCTGACAGGAATTAGGGCAACAGCACAAATTTATCTGCCTTTTCTGTATGTTTTCTTGAGTTTGGAATTTGCCAGCAGATAACGCAAGCTTACTTCACAAGTTTGCTATAAAGCACAAGGAAAGGTCGGGTGTTGTAGGAAATACAAGGTCAAGTTTTGTAGAAGCTATATGCAGCATCAACAAAGATCTTCTTTACAGCCTCCTTCTCAGGGGTTTATTTCCAAAGTAAACTGCAGCGATTGTGTCAGCATTTAAACAATCATTCCCCTGACTCCCCAGTGCTATTCAACTTTGTACTACACATCAGGAACGGGGGGGGGGGGGTGTCAGGCAAAACCAATCTGGTTTTTCTGTCATAACATTGCTGAATAACAGCATAGGGAAAGAAAATATTTACGAAGCAA